CTGACCACCATGACGTGAACAGATTTCCTCTGCCAAGGCCTTTCTGCCATGTTCCTTCTGCCTTGGAGCCAGCTGACTATGGATATAAACCTCTAAAAATGGTGAGTCCAAACAAACCACTCCTCCTTTAAGTTTTGGGAACTGGATATTTCCTCCCAGTGATGAGAGAGTCTAAGATATCACTGAACAACAGAGCCTCAGAATACATAAGACAAATCTGGTAGAATTACAGGGAGAAATAGACTGTTCTACAACAATACTTGGATACTTTCATACCTTGCTTTTTATAGTTAGCAGAATGATTAGAAAAAAGATAAGGAAATCAAAGAAACTATAAACAAACTAGACCTAAAAGACATATGTAAGATTTCTCACCCCCAAACCACTCAAATAGGTATCTTTCTCTAGTGCACATAGAACACATTCATGGGAAATGAGACATATGGGAAGGACCATATGTTAGAACACAAAATAAATCTCAATACATTTTACAAGTTTGCAATCACCACCAGAAATTGATAACAGAGGAAAACTAAAAACTCACAAATTTGAGGAAATTAAAGACATACTCTTAATGTAATTCATCCCCTAGCAAGAAGGATTGTTACTGTTTCTCAATTTTGGTTAGAAAGTAAACTGGCCCAAGTAGAGATCAGGTGCCTCCCCTGCACCAGTCAACTGTGGCAGAGTGGTATATCTGTAAGAAGATGGCAAATTCTGGCATCACCACACCATGGGACAGGGTGATTTCCCAGAACAGGAGGGGGATCTGCTTAGACAATATCATAGATCTACCACATTGACAATGTTTTGTAAAAAGTGAAAAATCTGAGGAAATGAATATTAAAGATACAAGTGAAGGAAATAGGAGAAGGTTGACATGTAGCTGGTGACATGAAAGTATCATCTAATACTCAGTCATCCTGTGCCAGTGATCCTGAGAGTGAGTATCTTTGCCAAAGAGAATAGAAGCATATCCACATGTCAATAGAATCATGGTAGCCTGAGCTCAACATTGAAAAGTGAAGTATAGAGGAAAATTAGTGGAAGAATCTAGAGGAAATAGAAGAAAAGAGGCATGTCTTAATAAATACCACAGATTGGGTGTATATCTTCACATTTCTGGAAGCACACAAGAATGGTAGGGTAGGTCCAATAAAATGACCTGGAATGGGAGTGACATCAGAGAGGAAGCTATAAAGGGTGTCCTCTGAAAGTAAAGGGAGCCAGGTGTATTAGTCAGGTTTCTGCTACTGGGATCAAATGCCCAACACCTGCAGCTTACAGGAGGAGAGGTTTTATTTGGTTTACAGTTTCAAAAGATTCCATCCATGGTCAGCTGGTTCCAAGGCAGGAACACCATGGTAGAAGGGCACAGTGGAGCAAAGCTGCTCACTTTATGATGGCAGCCAAAAAACAGAGCATAAGGGAAGAGCACCAGCAAGAAAGGCTCTCGACAGCCCCAGTGACCCACCTGCAACTGGGCCACACCTTCTAACAGCATTTTCAGCTATGAACATCAGTGGGTGAATCTACTCAGGAGTACAGCACTCCCTCAACCCACTTAACTCTCGAGGAGTTTCTTAATACACTCAGGTTGACAATTAAGCTTAACCATCACACCAAGAGTCTCCAATGTTAAGAGAAAGACCAAAGTGTACACATAAGTGGGGGATAAATTTCAGTCATTTGTAGGAAAATGAATGTACCTTGAGACCATAGTGTTAAGTGAAATAAATCAGACGCACAAACTTAAGTGTCACATGATTTCTTTAATATGAGAAACCCAAAGTGTAAGTAAAGAGCAAAAGAAAAGACAGGTAATAGGAAACAAGGAAATAGATCTTTTGCAAAAGGGAAAGGGACCAAGAGATGAAGGAAGGAGGGGGGAAAGAGGGGGAAGAGAATGAAAAAAGAATTGAGATGTGTAATGTACATACACCAACTCCCCATGATGAATGTAATCACTATGTACTTAAACACAAGTACTTACAAAAATACTTTTTAAAAAGCAAATAATAATAATTATTATTATTATAAATAAACAGGACCAGGGTGGGTAATAAAAAGCACAGAATTAGACTGAAGCAGATAAAAGAAAAATGGAAGGAAATCAAATCAGGATAGATTGTTCTCTGAAGAAGTTTGACTGGGCCTGATAAGAGAAAGAATAATAAGTTAGGGACAGGAAAAAGGAGCAGTGGGAGAGAGCAAAGGTGGTTACTTGCCCAGGACAGAATGGGGACAAAGACATGGAAGAGGGATGTGACTGAGGCACTTGTATTCCGAGGAGCAGTCAAGTTTATGGAGAAATGGCCAACCATGTGGCCTCCGAGTCTGGCTACCCTGGCTCCAAACCCAAGCCTGTCTCTTCCTAGACTCAGGGCTCCAGCTAATGGAACTGGGACTCTGTGTAAGTTCTCCCTCAGCCAGTCTCCTGTCAACTGGAGATTTTGCTGCAGATTTAGATGCCATTGTGGGGCCTTTGATGAAACCCAGTGCTTATAAAGTCAGGGATGCATCCTGGAAATCACAATAGTAGTTGGTATTACCAGCATATCTGTATGTTAGAAACTGTGATGAGGACTTCATTTGGAAGTGTTTATATAAAATCAATCTCTGTCTCTCTCTCTCCCTCATGCATCCATCTCCATTCTTCCTTTTATCCATTCTATATGTTCTAAAATTTATATATAGTTATACATTTACTCATATTGTATAAAAGAATTTAAAATAATTACAGGACATTCTTGAAATAAAAATATCTGACTTCTAAAAGAAAAAAAAATATCTGACTTCTGACACCTAAAACTTACACTCTTCCTTTGTGTTTCAGTTCACCCCTTCTGAACTCCCACCTTTGAAATGTAAATCAGGTGGGTCTCTCCATGGACACTGTTCTCAGCATTACTACACTTAACCTAATCCTGTTGTAATAACCTGCACATCTCCACCTGAGCCTCCTGTTGCAGGTGTGCATCATGTTTTCCACATTGCAGGCTCCTTGATGAGAGGGTCCACCTCCTTTGGACCTCTCAGATCTATTACAATGTCATCTGCAAACCACAGGAACACACATCATACTGAGTCACAAAAGTGAGTGCTGTAGGTTTAAGGAGTAAGAATTTGTAAAAATCAGTCTTTTCCTCATAACCATTTTTTTGCTGTCCCCGTTTGATGATTCTTGTAACAATTTCTTATTTCCTTATTCTTTCGAGGGAATTTCTTTTGCTCCCTTCGGTATCTCGGGAGTGGAGGGGGAAAGCCCTGTGTGCTCCAGGGTGAAAGGTTTATACTGCTGCTGTCTGTCACTCACAAGAGAAGACCTGGTCTTTCTGCCCTCAGGTGACCACCCAGAGGCCCCGTGCAGAGGGCTCCACCCTGAGCTGAAGGAGCAGAGTAGGTGTGGGGAACACCAAGCTGCTCACACTGACAGTACTGGTGCTTTTCCGGGCAGAAACTGCTGAGCTCATCTCCTTGGCTGGTAATTAGCAGACTCCTTTCACCTTGTTACAAGAGAATTTCCTTTTTTTCTTGCCCCTGGCAGTGACCTGTCATACTTCTTAAAACAGTTCAGACAAGTCCTCAAGAGAGGAAGAATAAAAATAGTTCTTAGCAAATGATGGCATGCGGAGCTCCTTTTGTAGGGAGCTTAAATTAGGAAAAATCCTGGGTTTCAAGAGTGTTTGGTTCTGTTTTGGAAACTTAGTGAAATGTCTTCAAATATGTTAAATTCATTCATAAATTATATATATATATATATTTATGTTCTATATAATTTTTTTCTAAGCACATAAACTGTATGACTTAGCCAAAAAAATAAAAATAAAAATACTTTAAAAAATACAAAAAACTAGCCAGATGCGGTGGCTCGTATCTATAACACCAACAATCTGGGAGGCTGAGCAAGGAGGACAGAAAGCTTTCAAAGTGTAAACTTAGTAAGATTTCATTTTAAAATCACAAGTCTAAGTTATTCAGTTACACATTTTAAATTTGATATACAAAGCTGATGTGCTACTCTGGCCAAATTCTTGGAAATTTAACAAATGTATAAATATTTTTTTAATGTACAATATTACAAATAGCAATACTGTGTTTTGATTCACATACACATTTCTGTAATCAATTCTAAATCTTTGCAGAGTTGAAATATGCTTAAACATCAAGGAAATAATTACACCATCACAAGCAACTTTGAAGGATGTGGTTCTCCCGGCGACTCATTTTGCTTCTCTTGATATTTTCTGGTACATATATATTTCTCTCTGAGTTTTCTGTCTAAACAAGATGGTAAATCAGGACTGTAAGAAGTAGCGTGAGCTCCCAGATGCTGGCTATGGTGGTCAAATAAAAACAAAATAAGCTCAGGAATAAAGTCTTGTTTGACTCCAGTGAAATGCATTAGAGAGCACAATTTCCATGTGAGGCAAAGGTGAGGTAATATTGTAAAATTGCAACATACACAATTCAACTGGTTTCCATCTCACTTCTCTGGGTCTTATAAAGTGGGTCTGCGGAGACATTTGCTTGATCGACCACTGAGTCCTACACAGTCGGAAGACTGCCCTCCTTTTCACATTTCATTGGTCGATTTTGTCTCTATATTATGCTCCTCTTTGCCCTCCAAGTACTATGTTCTCTTTGCTTTGCCCTGACGCCTTGTGCAGCTCTCAAAAATAACTTCCTGTAGTTAAGGGGGCCCTGGAGGAAAAGCTACACTCATGATTCAGGGTGATGATTTCAGTTCTCAAATGCCCTCTATATATAGAGCCTACTTGCTTGAGTAAATGTGGCAGGTTTCTGGCTCTCAGGAATCCAAAGGGAGTGCTGAAGGGAGGGCAGGGATGGAATGTGAAATGAGCTTCCAAGCTTTGGGCTGCATCTGGGTAGGGGCAGCATGGCAGTGGGTTGTTGCCTCCTGGTGGCTTTGCAGCTGAATGACCTGAGTGTTAATGTTTCACAATTGTTTAAAAGCAAAGTGTGACTGGTAGGGGAGCTTTGAGCCATTTTTAATTTATTACCTTATTTCCAGATACTAGAAATTAACAAGGAGAAATGAAAGGGGCCAGAGGATAGCAGAAGCCCCACGAGGGTGACTCATTCATAAAAGTAAGTGGTGTCCTTTGTTAGCAGCATGAAGACAGTCTAGGTGTGGCCATGTGAGAATTCTCAAGTCTCTGTTATCTCCTCTTTCCTAAAGATTCATCAGTGCACATTCCAATACTTGTCATGAACTTTAGCTTCGAAGGCTTTTTAGAACCTGTTTTAAAAAAAAACAACTTTTGTAAAGTTGTAATGAACTCTCTCTCTCTCTCTCTCTCTCCCTCTCTCCCCCCAAAACAAAAACATGTTCTGTCTCCTTCTCCCCTACACTTCCTGTACCCAATTTTTGAGTCTGAATAGAGCCCTCTAAGCATCCTATGTATTTCTGGAATTATATGTAAAGCTGGGGGAACATCTTGCTTTGGAATTTGAAGGTGTTACTCTGCTCAGGGATTTCAGAATCCAGAGATGCCTTCCTTACGGCTTTACAAACCACTCCAAGGGAATTTGGTAAGTAGTCTTCAGAAAAACAACTTGAATTGAAAACTAAGTTTGGTAAAGGGTCATCACTAATCTAGTGTGCCTAGAATGGTTAAACAAAAAAAAAACAGTAGTAAGTAAGATTTGAGGTACAAAGATTTCAATGCCGATTTGGCCCTTTTATTCACTGAATATGACTTTGTCTGACTCAGCTCATTTTATCACCTGTTTTTTACTCAGATAATGGGTCACATTTTCACATGCTGCACTGGCTAACATTGCTGTCTTATTACCCTACATTAGCTATTATTGCTGACAACGGTTATCACTGATCTTGTTTCTGATTTTATTGGAAATGGAGTTAGTATATTCTAATTTAAATTGTTCCCCTTGTTTTTGGAGAGTGGATAACTTTTCCAGTTCGTCCACCCATTCCTTTAGGGAACTGGCCCTCTCCACTTTGTCTTGGTGGTGGAATCTACTTCACCACCCTGTTGACTTTGGAGCTGGCCATGTGACCTTATCTGGCCATGGGGACGTCAACGTATGTGATCCAAGGAAAGTCTTCACATGTGTTTCTTCTAATTACCATAGAAAGTGCACACTCCAGGTAGCTGGTAGCCCTTTTTAGAAGACTGAGAATGAAAATATGGTAAAAGAAGTAAACTGAACTAGAAATGGATTTCAGCTTGGCATAGCAAAGCCCATCCTAAATGAGCTGAACTACAGCAACAGACAGACCTGCGGAGATGACAGTAAATGTTCATTGTAAGGCACTGGGATCTTGAGTTTACTATATGGTAAGAATGGATGGATTCAGACATTGATACCACAAGTGTGACGTTACCTGTGAAAGCACCTCACCCATGCAGTATTCTCACTGGGACTAGGAAGTGGGTGATATGAACCTCAGGGTAGGCAGCTGGAAAACTTACAATCTGTGTTGTGTACTGGCAAAACAGTGAGATAAATTGCCATCTTCTATACCTTGGGAGGCAGAAAATGTACCTAATGGACCTGTGGAATTAGAAAGATTTCAAGACAGAATGTTGATAGCAACGAGCAGGTTGTTGCAAGACAGAAATGAGCCCAGAACAGGAAAGGCCGATTTACAAGCAGAATTGCAAGGAAATAAAGAGAGCACAACAATACAGGATTGAATAATGAGAATATTTGTCGCTAAATCATAGCTACGGCCATGAAGACATAGGATAACATCTAAGTCCAAGTTGAGACCTATGACATACTTTTTAAATTTAATTAATTTATGTTTGAAACTGGTTTCACTGTGTAGCCCAGTCTGGCCTCGAACTCATGGCAACCCTCCTGGCTTGGCCTCCCAAGAGCTGGGATTATAAGGTATCCACTACCACACCTGGCAATGTCTGCTTATGAAACCTGAAAAATTAAAGTAGTGCTAGAAGATCTTATGGAAATATAAAATTTGCTGAAATCCTACTCGTAATTGGGATTCCTTGGTGATTATTCTTCTAGTGCCTTACCTGATAATTTTTTGCCTATCTCAGTGTCAAAAAATATTCGTTTTCTTCTTGAAACTCTCTAGTTTTAGTTTTAACATTAAGGTCCAAGATGTTTCAAATTAATTTTTGTCTATGGTGTGAAAAAAGCTCAACTTTTTTTCTTTACAGATACCCAGTTGGGGCAACATCTTTTTTTTTTTGAGGTGGGATCTTACTAAATTGCCCCCCTGGCCTCGAACTTGTGATCCTCAGCCTCTCATGTCACTGGGATCACAGGTACATACCACTGCTTTCATTTCAACATCATTTATTGAAAAGATTTTTTTTCTCAATCAAATTTTAATAAAAATGTTTATATTTGCTTGTATTTTTCTTTCCAGTGCTTTTTATTCATTCCCAAAGATCTATACTTCTGTCTGAGATGACTTCAGCCCAAAGAACTGTCATTAGAATCTCACTAGTTCTGCTGGCCTGGAATTCTCTCAGCTTTTGTTCTCTGCTGATCTGTGATGTGCTTAATGGGGCTCTTTCTCCTTATGCTACTTGGGGTTAGCTGTAAGGGAAAGTCTGAAGGACATCTTCCCACGACTTCTCACCCTGCCCCACATTGTTTTAGCTTTGTAAAAGTATGAGTACCCCTAATTACCTGTCCTGGCTTCAGTCCTGTTTATAGAATAGACCATTCCAGACCAGGCTCCAGAAGGATAGGGAAACAGGCAAACACGAAATGGACCAGTGACCACGAACTAAGATAGATGACCTGATCCCAGAAGATTCCAGCTTCCTCGTTCTCTGCTGCCCCTTATAAACCCCCACTGTGTAAGAGAGCTGCTGTTCTGGCACTTGGGAGCCAGCGGCCCCTGTCAGGTCTTTATCTCAGTAAAGCCTGTCCTTGCTGCAAGTGTTCTCTCTCTCTCTATTTCTTACATTATATAAAACTCTTAAATCTGTGGCTGTATGTCCTTCATCAGTTTCTGAAAATTTCCAGCCACTGTATTTTACGATATTTCTTCTGCTTCACTCTCCTCTACTTTTGGAACATTGATTTTTTTACATTGGGCCATTTGATGTTATTTCATTTGTCTGTTTTTATACAACCCATTAGCTAAGAATAGTTTTGACGTTTGAATGCCAATTATAAAGTTACCCACACACAAAAAAAATTTTCTTTTTCTTTTTCTTTTTTTTTTTAATTCTTCTTTTTAGTAGATCTGCATGACAAAAATCTTAGTGCAGTGGCACTTACCTGTAATCGTAGCTACTCAAGAGGCTGAGGAAAGAAGGTAACAAGTTTGAGGCCAGCCTGGGCAACTTAGCAAGATCCTGTCTCAAAAGAGAATAAAATACAGGGCCAGAGATGTTGCTCGGTGGTTGAACATCTCTAGGATGGCTTCCCCGGTACTGCAAAGAAAGAAAGATTACTCAATTGTTAATATACTTTCAATTTTATCAATAAAAATTATTATCATTATTATTATAAGTACCTTACTAATGTCCTTTATTTTAGTTCTTGGCCTACAAACCCTAGGCTCCTTGGCTCTTAACAGAAAAACTTGTTGGCTTCTAAGGTAGACAACAGAGGAAAAATTCTCTAAAGATTCTGTTAATTGACATTTTTAAACTATTAATTAGTTTCACAGTTTAACTTAGAGGAACTGTGTGACTAACCTCATTAATACAGGTGCCTATAGATTCTTTTTTATATATGATTTCTGAATAAGTTAACATTTACATATTTAATTCACATCAAATTAGAAGGCTTTTTATTGGCCTTTCTTCATTAGTCATATTAATTCTAGAAGTTTCTATTGCTATAGCTGAGGGGTTGTCACTTAATAGCATCTTTGCTTTATATTTAGTCTGACAATAAGAGAGACTAGAAGGACAGAACATTGCTTATGAAAACTGTCTTTCTGTATCCTTTTCTCTTTCTGGTAAACCAGCTTGCATGAATTAGAGTTTGGTTTTGGTTTTTGGTTTTCATTTTTATTTTTGTTTTAAGCACACAGTATAAATATTGAAGTAATTTATCGAGCTAGTGTTTCAGTTACCTATGGGGATATAGCAAATGACTCCAAAATGTGGTGGCGTAAAGCAATGACAACTTAAAATCTCTATGGATTGTCCAGGTTCTTCTGCATGCTGAGGTGGTGTGCTACGGTGGCTGGGAGGGCCAAATGGCCTTACTCACATTTCTGGCACTTGGTGGTAGCTACCATGTGGGAGTTCCATCGGGGTTGTTGGTTGGGGGCTTAAGGAGGCTTCTCCATGTAACTTCCTGGCATTCTTTACTGCATGGAAGCTCAGCACTAGAAATGATGCAGCACCACTGAGCAAACTATACCACAAAATGTACCTTGGTTTTGGAATCTGTTACCTTTAGGGAGATCTGGGTGAAAGTAACCCATTGTTTTATGTTTACAACTCTTCCATGAGACAAACTTATTTTCAAGTAAAAAGTTCAAAAAGAAACGGGTCACATAGTCAACCTAGATTGAAGGCAGGGAAAACAGATCCCACCTTTCAGTGGCAAGATGACAAGTTATATTGCAAGAGAGCTTGTAGCCAGAGCATATTGGTCTGATCTTGAATGCTTTCCTACCAAAGTTCAACAATCTTCGTCTTTTAATTTCGAGTCAGCTTTGTTGGTATTGCCACCCACTCGCCACTGAATCACATTTTCTAAGCATGATATAGAAAGAATAGATTGTCTTAGATGAGATTAAGGAACAGTCACTGACTTGACTATATTGTATCAGGCTGAACTGGGGATGGAGAGTCATCCTCTGAATGCAAACAAAATGAGCTGAAGTGGAGAGTGTCGTGTTCCAAAAAATCTGGGTCTGTAGACAGCGCATTGACTGGTAATCATGAGTTTTAATGTTGTGTGCTGATATTCCACAAAACACGGTCATACTGAAAGCTTTGTTTTAATAATTTGCAAGTCATTTCTAAACTCCTCTGAATTCATTTACAATCACATTTTACCTTCTGCCTCGGGCTTTTCGTAAGTTTCAAATTCACTTCCTGCTCCTTTAACTTTCTTTCACATCTGAGCATGGGAATGCAGAGTTTATGAGGAAAAAGTAAGAAATTTTGGATTATTTGGCACAGAAATTCTATGAAAGTCTCATTGCTTAAGAAACCACCATATTCAGACATTAAATTCATCTATGTTCTATTTTTGTGCTATCTATATCAGATTTGGCATAAGAAATATGCTAGTTTTCTAAAATGATGTATGTTTTATTTTTGTGCTATCTATATCAGATTTGGTATATGAAATTGATAGTTTTCTAAAATAAACTGGAAAGAGTTCCATCTTTTCATATTCAGCAATAATTTACATAACATAGGAGCCCTCTATGCTTTGAAGGTCAGATAGAAAGGACATACCTGTTAACTCACCGGGGCAGTACACATTTTTTAGAAGTAAATCTTTGATAACACACTTAAATTTTTTGGTGATTATTGGTCTATTCAGGTTTTCAATTTATTTTTCAATTTTTTAAACTTATACTTCTTAGAAAAGCAGCAATTTCATCTAGACCTTCACATTTGTTGGTAAAATGACAGTCATTTTGTGTGATCTCCCTGCAGTATAATGAATAATTTAAAGATGTTTAGAGTAAATCAAGCATAAAGGACAGAAAGGAATAAAATGAGCATATTTTAATGGCACTTAGGTGGATATAACCTGCCCTGACTGCTGTCAAATTGAAGCTTTTGACTTCTAAGAAAAAATTACTTAGAAAGTTATGTTTTAAGAATCAAATGCCTCAAATTTCTTGTTATTTAATGATAGTTCTTCTCCAGTCAGCACTAAGTATTTCCACATTATGAAATGGAATCTCTCTCTTCTTGAAGCAAAGACAGATTATTGATGGGCAGAAAGCGATTTTTAAGTCACTGGGGAAGCAACTGGTCTGCCACCCTTTTTATAATTTAGGGAGGACACCTGAGACTGAATTAGGAGTCCAAGGTTTGGTTCCAGGCTTCAACAGCTACAGATTATTATAGAAGAGTAATTTCTTGGTTTCAGATTCCTCTGGGATCATAACATATATCTCACTTAATTTTAGTGCAGAGAAAATAAAACTTTCCCCAATATTTCATCTAAGTCAGATAATGATCATATATTTATACATATAATGTATCATTATAGTCTTGTCCAGCAATGACAATAAATCATCAGCACAGCTGGAGCTCCCTGTCCCAAGTACATGATGCCCTAAAGTCCTCTGAATTTGTCCAAATCATCCTCTTATCCTCATCCGTGCTATGCTTGTATTCTCATGAGACTCCTAACTTCTGCAGTGGTGCCAGTTTGGCTACTGTCAGACTCAACCGTCACCAGATCTATTTCACCCTTCTCTTTTCTCTTTACAACCAGTCTCTGCCACCTCGACCTTCATTCCCACAGCATTGTTGTACTTTAGACCCTCCTGTTCTATTGCTTGTTTTTCCTGGACAAGAGAACTAAGATTCATCAAGCATCTATACCACATTGGATTCTGTGGCAGATGTTGGCTGCCTCCTTCATCTTGCTCTTTGTTTTGGGATGCCTTAAGAAAGAACCACAGACTGGAGGGTAGAGGCAACAGAAATGGAATTTCTCACAATGTTGGATGCTGGAGGTCAAGATCAAGGGGTTTGCGGAGTTAATGTCCTCTGAGGCCTTACTCGCTGGTTTGTCCACAGCCATTTCTTCCTCCCCTTGTGTCTCTGTCCTGTTGGTGGTCTCTCTAGAGGGAGACCTGAGACCCCAGAAAGCACTGACTTTTAAAGAAAGAAAAGGAGACAGATTGGGGGGACGAACAGCAGTTTAATTCCTCTGACACTGTTCAACAATCACAAAGGGAAGTAGTAAGGCTTTTATACATGTAGAAAAGCAGCTTAGTTATTCTGGCTATCGTCTTTCTGATTTTAATTTCTGGTGACAAATGACTTTAAGTGACTCATAAAAGCTACAGTAGAATTCACAAATCCCCTGTTTCCGTTCACCAATCCCATACATCAAAGAGCACACCACAGCCCTCTTCTTATCAAATAGTATCAAGAGAGCAGGACGATTTCAGCCAAAATCAAGCCCACCGGCCCACCACAAACATCACAGATGTGCATAGTGAGTCGTATCTCCCTCACCACCGGTAGAGTCATTGGGTCCTGGTCCTCTGATCCCAGGAAATGGTAAATAAGAAAACTAGGAAAACCTGTTTTTCTCCCGTGAAACTTTCACGAGGTCTCTTAAAGTTTTCTGGCATTCTTTTAACAGACTTGTGGAATTTCCCAGAAATGACTTAATTTTCTCAGTTAAGAAACTTCTTGTGTTCAATTCTTACAACTAGATAGCTGAATTCTACCATTTCCCACAGTGTCCCAGGCTTTTCTCCTTGTGAGGACACCAGTCATCCTGGAGGAGGGCCCACCCTAATGGCATCACCTCAACTAGCCGTCCCCAGATACATTTACCTTCTGAGATAATATTGAGGGGGAAGGTGGGGACACAATGCAGCCTAGAACACTCTTCTATACTTTCTCTCCTAATCTGCTACTCCTGACTTCTCTAGGATGAAACTACGGAAAGGGGATGAAGATTCAAAGGCTTTTCATTTAATTTCTTTTAATTTAGCTGGTGTTGCTCTCTCCACCAAGGCTGTCCAATGAATGTTCTCCTGCCATAGTAGAATGGAAACTATTGACACTTACAGGATTTGTATAGTTTCTCTGCTCCCAGCAATGGCCTCCACCTTCCACCCTTCCATGATGCTGGCTCCTACCATCTCTCTCTCATCTCTTGCCCACCCAGTGGTGCACTCCACATAATTCCTTGGTACCTTTTTGCCACAACAGGCAGTCCTCGGAGGTCTGGGCTTTCCAAAATTACCATGGTCTGGCTTCTCTGCTGAGGATCATGGACCCAAGCTCAGAAACCATGCATCCTTCCTCTGTCCCTGCAATTACAGTCTGTTCCCTCAGTCACAGCCCACTCTCTGCCCCTCCATCACAGCTTAATGCAACCAGTTTCTGTTTCACCTCCCACATCCTCAGTTTCATGGGAACTTGTCAGGTTCTTCCAATAAACTGTGATTTTTACAATGGGGCAGGGGCCATGTGTCTCTAGTTAAGGGCAGGATGGCAAGTTTCTGGGCCACAGCAAACACTCCACTGGGCAGTAAAGGCCCAGGCTCCTTCCAGCCAGAACTTCTTCTCCATGAAGTATTCTCTTGGGGCTCCTTTATTAAGCCTGAGGTGGGTGCAGCAGGGAAATGCCCCAGTGTCAACTACTACAGACATTCTTCAACAATCCTCTTATCTGTCGTATCATTGAGGTGGCTGGTGTCACATCAGTAAAAACCAGAGGGAGGAGGACAGCAAGCTGTTAGAAAGCATGACTTCCAGAAGAAGTGATTAAGGGCAGGACATAAAATTTTTTTTGAAGTGCATTAAGCAAGATGATAAGGTGATAAATAGTAGGGAAAACTGTAATATCGTTGTTAACTTTTTTATGACTCTACAATTACTTTAAAGATCATAAGTAGAAGAGTACAACCAGTGGAAGAACATGAAAAGATCAGAGGACATAAATACGAAAACAGGATCTTTGACAATGGCTCCCCACTACCTCACTGCGTTAGGTCAACCGCTGCCATTTTCTAGGCCACTCTTTCCACCTTCCCACCTGCCTTCTTCACTGTGTTTCTGTGGGAATTGTTCTCTACTTTTGTGAGCCCTTCTATCCTCACTCCCACCAGAGCTGTATGTATGGTTAATTTTCTTGGGTTGTTGAACAATAGCAGTTTTCAAAATAGGATTCAAAACAATTGTGCCAGAAATGTTAATGCATGTTGCCACAACAAAACAAGGGTGCTAGACAAGGTACATTTGGAAAACTGTAGGTGAAACCATGTTAAATAGGTATAATTACAGTTCTGTTTTGTTTTTTAAAAAGGTTAGCATGAGGATCTTGGTTGAGAAACCAATTTTGCCCATTTCTTAACAGGTCCATAGAATAACTTAGCTCTTTGTCATATTGTCACCTATTGTTCTCTGCTTTCAGATTATTAAAATGCATCTTCAATTTCTTTGTGCTGTGAAGGTGTTTTCGCTTGTTGTTCTCACCTCTCCACCATTGGCAGCCTGCTCAGTTGTGGCCTAGCTTCCCTGTAAATCTTCATGCAGCCCCTCTACCTGAGTTGAGAAGTACTTGCATCCACTTTTGTGTCAAATAACCTCCTCTTACACACTAACACTGACTCTGTGCATAACAGCCCTACTATTGTCACTATGGCGACACTCTGTCCTTGGTCTTATTCAGACCATTAGGCATGCGTTATAGACTTTTCAGTTTCATTCCATCTAATCTTTGTCTTAATTTTTATTGTAATAAAACCAGGGGTCATAAATGGCATATTAAGTTTTGGCTTTAAAATTCATAAACATAAGTTTCATGAAGCTCTTATTTAATAGTTCATGCAGTCATCCAAGGCCTGTATGATTATTTCAGTTTAAGAAACTATTTTGTTCCCTTAACAAGTAACAGAAATCCACTATCTGCTAGGTGTAAAATTATGTGCCAGAAACACAAAGATAAGCAAAAATATCCTTCCTTCCCTCAGGACACTGACAACCTAGGAGCTTATATTCAGGTACATGACCTACGTGACCTTAGAATCTGTAAAGTTCAAATTAGTATATTAAAATAAAGTGATATGGCCAGCAAGTACTCCCTCATTTCCTCTCATACAAACACAGCCAATTACCAATATCTCTTTATATCTGCAGTTTGTTTCACACTTAATTCTAAATCTCAGTTTGTCACAATACTGAAGAGTTTGTAACTTGTCAAGTGACAAACCAGCTAAACTGGGGGGGGGGAAGGCATTGTATTAATTCCAATCAGTGGGTTGTTTTCCTGTAATATTTCAAAATATATTGGTAAGGAAGCATCTTCCTTTAATTCATGCAATAAAATGTGCTCCAGGAAAGTTTATGGAAAATAAAAAGGTCCACATTATTTAATTATATTTTATATCACGTCTTATCATTTTTCAGATTTTTCTAGGGCTAGGGAAGATGTGCAGAGCTGGCTGGGATTGCTAATAATGATAAGATAGTTATTATTGAGCACTGAGTATGTGTTAAGCATGGTGATCTGCCTATTTATGTCCATTATCATTGATCTCTACAATAATCTAATGGGGGATGTATTGCCCCTAGCCCTATTTTTAAAATGAAGAACCCGAGGATTAAAAGATTGAATAATTTGCTGGCTTCTAAGGTGGAGGCAGAGTGAAGGTCTCATTCTTGTTAGTAAAAAGCCCACTCTTATTTGATTTCTGGGTAAGTGACACATAGAACATATAGCAGAAGTGCTACAAGTGAATAATTTATTAAACCAAGACATTTCTAGTCCTTTGCCAGATATCTTGGGTTATTAACTTCGCTGATGGCAAAACTCACTTCATCACTGTATAGAATCAAAACATCTTCATCCAGACTGGATCCTAAACAGTACACTGGAGGTCACTGCAACGCTGTTTCTCTTAGACCTGATTTTCTCCAGAGGCCTGTTCCACCTCCTTGTGTCACCACACATGCTAATGCTCCAGGGGACTGTGTTACATTGGGCTTTGCCCACTAGCAGCCACCACTGTACGGGTGGAAGACACAGCGACTCTTGGGTTGGGAGAAAATCAAAATGAAGCATCCCTGGCCTCTGTCAACTAGAGGCCAGAAGCCAGCTTCTTTCCACAGTCAGGACATTCAAACACACCTTCAGATATTGGCAAACATTCCCCATGGTGCAAAACCACATCCCGTAGAGATCCTCAGGGGAAGACATTTCTCTTCCAAGCTCCTGTGGTGTCTGGTGCCGCAGCTGCACAGTGTCAGCCCATGGAAAGGGATTTTGGTCTCCTTCAGATGGTTGTGAAACCCAACTCTCACATTTACTACCTCTGAGCCTTAATCAAACCACAAAATAATATTAGCAATTATTTATTGAATAATGACTATTCATTCATTTATTCAATCAAAATATTCCAGGAGCCAGGACATTTACCAAGTGCTGGAGATACAGAGCTGTGCAAAAATAACACTGACTTCTGATCTCATGGAACTTACAGCCTAGCAGTGAGGTGCATATTAATCAAACAGTTGTCCACATAAGTGCATAATTACCCAGTCAGATGAGCACTATGAAGTACATGGCATGAGCATAGGACCTGTGGTTGGAGGAAAACAAACGAACAAACACCAGGCACTCTGAAAAATCAGCAAGGCTTAACCACAGATAGCAAGTTTGCCATATTCCAAATATTGCATAGAGAAGATACGTGTGGCCTGGCACAGATATTGCAAATACTGTGACTGAGCATGTGAAGGCCAGTGATATTATTGCTCAGCCATGGTTAGAGGATTTGAAAGTATAAATGCTGGGGTTCAAGACCAGATCTGTTATGCTTTAGAGTCTGTATACTCTGTGCTTTAATTACTTGAGTAATTACCTCTTCATTATTCCACCTTTTACTTTCTTTTTTTTAAAATTTTATTTCATTGTTACATTTTAGGTACACAATATAATGACATTTATGATTGGAAGTTTGCACCTTTACATAATCTCTCTTGGTTCTTAGTTTTCCCCCTTCCCCTGCCCTCCCTTCATCCCCTCCA